TCTATTGCTCAGAATGAACATCAAACTGATTGTTAGAGCTAAATGGTGGTTTGTCAGGTTGCCAGAATGACTCTTTAGAGGAAATACATTATTACAATTTTAGCAAGTCCATTAATGTCACAAGTACCACAGGCATTCATTTTCCCGTGTCAGTGTTAGGGGTGCATACCTGCTCCTGGGATGAGGGATTAACTACTGCTGTAACTATCCTGCTTCACTTTGGCTTCCAAGCATCCTCCCACAGGCACACGTAAACTCTGCTAATTCTTCCCTGTTTTGCCGTCAAATGCCAAAGCCTCAATTAAGATCAGAGCCCCAGTGATCAAGACACGATCCTTGCCTCAGAGAGGTTAAATAGCCAAGACTGGCAAATGGTAGGAGAAATAATGGAGGAAGCTGGAGATAAAGTTGCTTGCCCAGGGTCACAGAGCAGGCCAGGAACAGAATCCCTATCTCCTCTTCCCTTCTGAACAGGTCACCTGTTTTCTCACCTCTGGCTGAACTTTCTTCTTTCCTTCTTCTCAAATATGAATAATTCATTCTCCAGCTCTTAGGTCAAGATTTCTGTTCACATATGATAACATTAACCAGATAAGAAGTTTTATGCTACCATATTAAAAATACTAAAAAGCATGGTAAGATCAAAACTTTTCAGCTAAGAACATTGCTGCTGGTTTCTTTATCCATATGCATTTAGAATTGTTTCTTTTTTACTGATACTGGTGTAATTAAATCTCTCTCTCTCTCTGCCTGCCCATGGCAAGGGTTTAATTTCTGCAATTCATGAAGAAATTCTGTATTCAGATTAGCTGCAGCACTTCCTTTGCCCCCTAAGTATTTTGAGTTTGTAGAGATTATTGCAAATGTGACAACAAAATTCAGTAAAGGTAAACTGTGAATTCTGCTGCTAATAAGAATTCATCACTTTACATGCAAGACTGGACCACCCATCCAAATGACTTAGAGCCCAAAAGAAATTCTAACCAGTGACTCACTCTAGATAAACAAAATTGTTGTCTTGTCATTAACTAGACTAAGTTACTGCATTGAATAAAATTCACGGATTTGATGTCTGGAAGTGCTAGATACAGCTCCTAACTGTGTTAATAAATTGACATTTTTAAAATGGAGGTTGTCCATTGCTCAATTACCCTAAATCAGTTTGTCAAAGAGAGTGTCCTTTAGCTACCTTCTATTAATTACAGTATAAAATACAAAGTACTTGTAAATAACATGTCCCAAGCCTTTAATAGAAATGTTGGCCACATTATCTTCTGTCATTCTACTTGAACTCCACACCTAGATTTTCTACTTTCCTGGTTACATTTTCTTTGAGGGGTACAATAAAAACTACTGCATAATTTTAAATCACCCATATCAATAAGGAGACCATGTGATTATTACTAAGGAAATAAGAAGGCTACAGTGGACAGTGAGGATGAATAACAGCAACAGTGGATTCCTTCCCATTGAGCAAATTGATGGAGCACACCTACCACAGCAAGAATTGAAATTTCTGGGCAGAGTAGCCCCTCTTATCCAGCCATCAGCATTCAGTGAAAGCTGCAGGATATTGGGATTCCTTTGCCTAAATGTCACGACTCTTTGCACAGAGGTTGGTGTGAGGGCGGGTCATATATAACCACCCTCCAACACTCATGCAAATTACATCACCTAACTTTAGATCCTGGAATACACCACACAAAGTAGTTCTTAATAGTGTACTTTATATAATAAAATTTCAATGTAGCATAAGGTTGCAGCCCCGTGAAGGACAAACAGGAGCATTGCTATAGCAACTGTATGAAACTGCTCTAAGTGAACTGGATGGGAGTGAGAATGATGCATGAGGTGTCTCCCAGGAAGAAGCCTGGCTGCTGATGGCTGGTTTCAATGCACCAACTCCAAGGCTGCTCAGTACCCTCTGGATTCTAGGTGATCAAAGAAGAGACAAACTCCAGACAAACAGGGGGCTGTCCCTCGGTCAGCACAGCAGGTGGGGTGGCACAGCTCTGCTAGGGTGCAGTTCAATACTGTGACAAGTCAGGGGATAAATTCCTGGGTTCCAAAAAAAGGGTAGGTTTCCCCAAATAAAGCATAATTCTTGTTTGCAAACAATTTTGCTTACAACAAACGTATTAGGGAGGGGTTCGGACATACTGAAACCTGAAACCATGACACCATTGAAAGCTCAACAAAACTGATGTTTATTACCAAGAGGTAGCCCACAAAACGAACAAACCCAAAAAAGAGGAAGGAGGAGAGAAACAAGCCCCCAGCACAACCTACCCAGTCACCCAGTTCTTACCAACCTAGAATTCCCATAATTACCCACAGCAGAAGCTGTACCCTTGGAGAGTCAGTAAGTTCACAAACTGGCAGGTGTCCCTGCCAAAAGGCAACATTGTCCTTGATGTGAAGCTAGTTCTCCTCCAAGAAAGCACTATCTGCTTTTATACAATTAACTGAGTGACCTCAACCTGGGCAGGTGTGGCCAGCACCGCCCAGCCAGAGGCCCTCAGTCCCACCCCCTTGGTTATGTAAGGGCATCTCTTCTGCGCACACGTGGCTTTCCCTGCGCCCACGCACTGCACTTGGGGGGTCTTTTCCAAATGAGTCTGAGGGCATTACTTCATCCTCTCTTCTTCAGTCTCTCCTTCAAGCGGCCTTGGAGGATGATTAGCCAATCACAGAACACCAATTAAAACAGTTTATACAAGAAGCTCTCTCTCCAAGGACGAGGTACCTGTTTATCAGTACTTGTTTTCTCATAACTTGGAAGGGAAAGAACAAAACTTTTACAGTTGTCTGGGCCAAACACAGACCAAAAGTATCAGCATAAATTCACCCTGATACAAGCAAATCTTATGTCAAAAAGAGAAGAGAAACACAGAAACAATGAAGCCACAAACCCAAAGAAACATGAATCTTAGAGCTGAACAGTGACTTTACTGAGTAACATGTTATAAATTGCCATGGGTGTGAGTGCAGGGTTGGACACAATGACTTCTGGAGATACTTTAGAGTCTACAACATTCCATGGTTCTATATAAGCTGCATGTTTGGCCTCAAATCGAGAGCTTGCCTTGCTCTTAATTCAGGCCCACATACTACTTCCCTTCAAGAGAAAATGAATGGAAAAGGGTTTTGAAGGCAGAAACTTCCACTATTTGTTCATGTTTAAATTAATTGAATTTTCAAATAGGAAGTAGAGAGAGAATATGGTTGATTTTTTAAAAATTTATTTCTAGAAAAGCTCCTCTCATTTTTTTCTAAAAAGAATTTCAGAAAGTTGTAGTGGCTGTTTCAGTTCCAAGCAAAGAAACACTTGAGACCTCAGGATTAGAAACACTAAAGAGAGGGTGCTCCTACAGAGAAGAGAGCAGACAGAAGGTGTGTGGTTCACTGTTCACACACACTGGACAGAGAATTTAAAAGAATAAATAATCCATGCAGCCTTAATTACATTACATATCCTTAATCTAAAAGCCTCACATTTTCTGCAATTTTCATTGAATTCAAAACATAAATGCTTCATTTTTGCAATAGTTTTCCCTGCTGTGTTGTCTTTTGAAATCCAATAGCAGTGTGAGCAGACAGTACTAATTAGTCTGTAGTCATTAGAAGACAGGTTGAAAGACGGACTAGCAATAAAATCAAAACATAGAACCATATTACTATAATAACTATTTGAGCTAATACTATATATAATTGAACTTCTAATGGCCAGTTTAAGCTGATAGAATCCTGAGTGCCTTATGTTAACATTATAAAACTAGAAACATCAGGAATTAGATAATAAAGAATAGGTGCTGAATATGACATTTAACCTCAGGGCAGAAAAAACACCGTGCCAAAATCTTCCCACAGGTAGAAACTGTGTGTTAAGCACTGAACTGCAACTAGGCCCTCACCATTTTCAGCACTGTGCTGCCATGGGGGCATGGGAGGATGTGCAGCAACCCTTTGCTGTGAGCTGTTCCTTACCTTTAAGTGAAGTTTAACAAAAGTGATCTAAGCCAAACAAACTCTTGCCAGCCGGAGAGGAAGGAGGAGAGATCTCAGAATATCCCCTACCACTATCGGACATTGGCCTGAGTGGCCAAAGTTACAATCAACACTTCTGGCAAATTAATTACTTTGCAACACACAGGGGTGAAGAGAAACAACCACTATACACAAGAAGGACTATGTGAGTATGAGCATTTTTTAAATCTCCCAATGAAAGCTGTGAGTTCACATCACTCTTCCTGCAAAGTACTATTCAGGTAGCTGAAACGAACAGGACTCGCCTCCCATTTCAATTGACACAAAAGCACAGTGGCACTGTGCCTTTACATTCCTTAAAAATGTTAGAAGGAAACCAATGTTAAATGGTTCAAAAACTGACCTAGGAGCCTCCAAAACATACTTTTTCCTGAAAGCATTTTAAGGAGCATCCAGACTCTCTTTCCACTAATTTCATTTATGCCAGCCAAGAAGACTCAAATGTTTTACTGGCTGAAGCACCTTCAAAATCTGGCTACTGCTTTACACAGTAAAGTTACTCTTAAGTATGATTCTCTAACTGATTTTTGATCCAAGTATTGCTTACACTCAAAAATTCACTACAGTTTTAACACACTGATTAATTTAAAGAGGCATATCAGAGACATACATAAAACAATTTCTTACCTGTTTTAGAGTAGGTAAATGAAAAGCACATAAAGAGACTTTTCTGGAGTTCGGGTGAGGCTGCAGCGGGACATGAGGATGGACACAACACAAATTTTGGATAACCAGAAGCTATTTGCAAATTTCTAGTTTCATTTATTCCATATTATAGATGAGGATAAATATCAAGGAATGCAGTTTATATTTCACACCTGCTGTCACAGAACTTGGAAAAACAGATAAACATCTCAGTTTAGTACTACCATAAGGAAACCACATATAAATTTTTGTCTAAACAAACATTTTGCATCTAGAGTAACAAAACAGAGGGAAGACACAGCTCTTACCTCATTCTTAAGTGCCGAAAGGCCCAATGGTGGCCTGCAACTTCTGCAAACAATTTTCCACCACCTATAAAACCACAAAAATATTTACTATTCACAAAAAAAAAATCACACTCACACCCATCACCAGCCTGAATCCCACTTAATACTAAGCACTCCATTCCAAGTGTGACAGCAGCAGTACCTTTAACCCTCAACCCCAAAATCTGAACTACTTTGAAAACAGACTGAAACTGGTTTATTTCCAGAAACTTCAACTTTATTATTTCTCCACTCAATGAAATAGTTCATATGAATAAACTACAATCTAGTTATATCTTCATAAACAAAGAATTAATTTATGGTAATATAATTAATTCCAACCAGGATATATTTGCAGGAAAAGCATCTCAACTAACTTGATGAGATTAACAGTTGATATTAAAAAGAAAATTGCTTAATGTAGTTAGAATTTTATGTGGATAAATTAGACCTAGTCCTTTCTGAAATGTTGACTGAGAACCTAAAGTGAAACAAAGTCAATACATGTCACATGCTAATCAAATTAAAAGCTGATTAAGTGACAAATCTCAGCTGAAAGTCGAAGCAGAAAATCCTCATCAGGGGAGCAGAGTTTTTAATGGGTTCCTGGAGGCTCTACAGGCTTTTGATAATTCACTTTTTACAATTAGCCACCTGATGGGAAAAAATAACTGTAAAATCTGGAGATGCGACTGAGGAAAAAGTAAGTAAGAAGCAGGGTATGTAATGGATGCACAAGGAAAAATACCAGTGGAATCCAGAGCAACATGCACTTTAACACTACTAAATGTAAACACAGGCAAACATTTTGGCACACAATGCTGGGAGAAGGAACCATTCTGAATTACTGTGTCATAGGATACCAGTAGGAACTCCAAAGTGTTTCACTTGTTTACTATATTTTGTCCTCTGACAGAAGATGAACTTCAGTTCTTCAATGTTTTTAATTTTAAAAGGCTACTACATATGTATGTGTGTGAGAGTGCTCATCTAAATGCACATACATGTATATACAGTAGGATGATCTTCCTTGGGGTAAGAAATATGGGGAAAGCCTGCTATTTACACAAAAATATTAAGATGTTGCCATAGAGATTTGATTCATTTTTTTTATGGATCCAAGTTCCTCCTTAAGGTGAGGAATTAAATGAAACACTCCTGTGTCATGACACTCCAAGCAATGTGCTAGAATGAGTGACAACCAGCAATTCCGTCTCTCCAACATGTTCCTGAGGACTAGGAGATTAACTTACAAAAAGATACAACCCCAAATATGCTGAAGATGACTAAAACTCCCCATAAGTCAAAATTATGTTACTTAATTCTCAATATATTACTGTAATTTCAAAATTATTCATCTCTCTTACTATTAAACTTGTCTTTAAAATATCTAGTTTGAAGAGGGCCACGGTCAGCATTTTAAGCATCTCCAAAACAACCTTTGCAAAACTGACTAACAAAGAGCAAGCAAAACCACAGCCTATGGGAAACCTTGGGACCACGTGCCAGCAGCATGATTACAGTGAATCAGAAATGATGTGCATGCACACTGATTTCTCTCATCAGGTTCAGAAACACCGCAGGCAACCTCTTCTTCATATACTTTGTTTTCAGCATCACATCCTTGTTTATAAATTCCAGCAGTACCACAATAGATACAATGGAAACTACTTGCTAGCAAAGAAAGTACAAGATTTGTAGAACTAAAAATTAGTTTTCCTTGCAATAGTCAAAAGTTTGGCTTAAAAGCTTCTGTGAAAGGTAACAACTGTCCTTTCTTCAGACAGGACCGTTTCATAAACAATAAATCATATCATCATATCCACTGCCAAGAACCTGTGGATGCCCCATCCCTGGAAGTGTTCCAAGGTTGGGTTAGATGGGGATCTGAGCAACCTGGTCTAGTGGAAGGTGTCCCTGCTCATGGCAGTGGGGTGGGAACTAGATGATCTTAGAGGTCCCTTCCAGCCCAAACCATTCTATGGTCATACTAGCTTCAGAACACAACTAACTATTTTCTTCAAAAGCACAGTTCTCAGAAATCAGTTTATTCAGCTGCACAGGTTAAAGAAATGAAGGGGGCTGGGGGTGAGGGGTGTATCTCAGAAGTGAACTAGAGGTATAGTCCAATTTCAGAACTGGAATGTGGTACCGTTTCATGTTGGATACAACCCAGTGCCCCTTGCTAATTGCTGTCAAAAAAGTGGACTCTCATTCTCACCCTCTGCCCTCAACCACTTGTTCACAGTCCTCTCCCTACCCTGGGCCTCCTGCCCATGCTGATCTGAGGAGAAAAGCAAACCCAAATAGCAAAACAACCCCCATCATCTTTCTATTAAAGGACACAATCAAGTAATATTTCTCAAGTTATTTAGGGACCCAGAGAGCCATATATATGTTTCCAACCCCAGCCCTTGTTTGTTAAAAATCTGCAATGTTCAGATGAATGATGGGATTCAAACTTGATATTAAATGGCACATATGCCTCAGATATGACTATAGCCATTAGTGTTTGTATCTAATATTCCAGCATCTCCTGTGGTAAATTATTTCTCTAACTGAGAAGTAATTATCACAAAGTTATTGGGTTATCAGACTTCTAATGATCCTATAATTGCTTTCATTATACAATTGATTTGTCACAAATGCTCATATTACAAATATTATTGACCTCCTGCCACTCCTATAACATAATTAAAGCTGCAGATCAGCTTAACACATTGCCCTCCTGTGCTGCTGAAGACACATCACAGAAGCCACAAAGTACCTGCAGAGTCACTTCTTGGCTCAGCAGCAGCGTGAGACTCAGGGCAGATGTTATTTTGCCATCTATTCTCTGAATTCTTACTTTCCCCATACTTTACCCTAGTGTTTCATACCTTAACTCTGTTTCTTTATTTAGCCACACTTCATTTACCCCTCACTGCATCATATTTCTCCCCATGTACAAAACTTACTTCCTACTCTGCAGTTTTCCTTCGGACGCTCGCTACGTTTGTGCCAAAACCAAATTAGTTTCTGCTTTCCTTTGCCTGCTATTTTTCTTTTTGATAAAATAACAGCCCAAATAATTCACTTTCTTTATTTTTTTTTCCTGAGTGTTCGACTTCTGCCTTTTAGCACAATTATTTTTCCCATTCATTTCTCTCTAGAGATTTTGCTGAATCTATCTGAAAGTTCAGATGAAGGAAGTGCAAGTACCACATCAGTCTTGTTTTAGCAGCACCCCCATCCCAGCCTATTAAGTTTGGTAGATTTAGTGGGGCATTCTTACCTTCCACAAGCTGCTGTTCTGAAACAACATGACAGCTTTGTGAGTAACCTTTTGAAAGTGAGAGCCCTAAAATCTAATATTGTTAATACATTTATTCAAGGTTGCTACTTTCATACAAACCTAACGTAGAAACCCATCTTCTCCTTCTTTTTCTTGTCTGACAACTGAAGTTTAACTGATCGAGGATAAAGTGCCTGCAAGCCATGGGGAGTTAATATAATTTACACACTGAGTCCTGAAAGTCTATGAGGTCATTAAACTATCCATCTGCCTACATGTCTTTTCCTGCATCTCAGAGATGTCCACACTTTAAAAGCCATAGAGGATTACAAATGCAGAATGAGGGGGGAAAAATTCATGTTTAACATTATTCTATCCTCTAGAACCAAGCCAATATGATTAAGAATTAGGGGACTAGGGAAACATAGTACTATAAAAAAACCAGATGTCCCTAATCGTAGAAATTCTGCAGTGCGAGAGTTAAAGTATATCTTTTAGGTTGTAAAAAGGGAAGATAATACCAAGAACAAATAACCAAGAACAAATTTAAAAAAAATCTAAAATACATAAACAATTAAAAACCCTAGAGGCAAATTTTGGTCAAAAAAAGTTAAAAATAGTAAATATTTTAGGGCTTTGGCCATTTCTGGCATTTAAATTACTGCATTACTAAATGAAAAGGAAGGAAAAAAAACCCAAAAGTTCTGTAACAAATATACAAATCACTGTTGCCTGAAGTGAGAAACAAATATCCAGTAAGTCTCTAAAATATCTCTATTTTTAGGCATAACTCTTGCCTGTGTAGGAATCTGAAAGGCCATGTCAGAAGTAGACTACATCTGACTCCAGGAGCAGAATAACAGCACCAGACTTGCACTGAAGTTACACCAGTGCTGATCAGGGTCAACTTCACTAAAGTCAAGGAGAAGAGAACAAATTTGGCCCATTGCTCAGTAACCACACGCACATTTTCTCATAGGCAATAAGAACATTATATTCCAAGAACGTCTGGCCAGCTGTGTGATGGTTTATATCAGCAGAGGAGGTCTGCAAACAGGTGGGAAACAGCTGCCTCATTTATCCTGCACACCACTCATTTAGATCACAAAAGTGACAGAAACAATAGGAGAAACACTCTTGTGAAGCAAGAGTTACAATATAATAATGGATTTTTTAGGTGAGACACAGCCTGCGCTGAACTGAGCCCACCCTTTAATCCTAAGGTTCATCTGCCGGGGCCAAGCAAGCTTGGACAATGGCAGTGAGGTCCTCAGGACGTAGGTTTGTTTAGAGTGTCCTTCTCATAGATGGATGGCCACACAGGGCTAACGACCTCCATCAGGCCAGGAGACCGGGGTCGCAGCAGTGAAAGTCCTGCACGCTAACCACTAGGCCACCAGGGGTCTCAACTCAACTTTATCAGTAAGGACAATTGCATGTCCCAAAATATTGTTAATCTGCTTATGAGAACCACCAATGCCTGAATATATATGGTAGCACTATGGACTTGAAAAGAATAGGAAGCATCTTATCTAGCTCAAGGATTTAGCAGAATACCCTCAAAATAGACCTAAGTGCCAGGCAACCTCAGCCATGGAATTCAGAACAAACAACACAGAAGATCTGGGGGTAGAGAGGCAAAGCTCTCACATAAAAAATAAAGATAATGTCACATAAATATTTCTAACTGCTACTGTGTTACCAGTTGCTTAGCAATGTCCTCTGCTCCAACAAAAAATTGTCTTTTGTTCACAACAAGTTCTCTTTCCAAA